TTCTGCGTCTCCTGACTCAGTTCAATGAAATGGGTTTTCAGCGGAGTGCCATCAAAGAGGTTCTACTGGTCCACGAGAACCACCGGGAGAGGGCACTGGAGGAACTCATGACACGCCACAGCTAAATATGAACTAGTATGGTCTGTTATACTGCTGAGTAGTTATGGAGATAAATGTGCAGCAAACATAGTAACCTTTTTAATGGGTCATGTTCAGTAGGGCACACCGTAGCAGAACGTTTTTAAACGGAAAACAAACATTTGTTTTGTTGAAGTGCAGGCAGTCCATGTTTCAGTCAATTTATGAACACCGCCATGGTTTTTACTCCCCATCAGAATATATGTTTATGATGTATTTAAAGATAAAAGCTCGATTTGTGCTGGATTAATTTGAGTAAACATTTATTTTCACCAGATTGCCCTGTCTTTTTTACACTAATACTGTAACATCCAATACATGCTCCGGAACTTTGGTGACTAGTATTTTATAAACCTCCTGCTTTTGGCGTAGTTCATACATGCATAATCTATGAGCAGATTTACAGGTTTACCCCAATTAGCCACGAGATCTCAAATTTGAAAGCGACTGTTTACTGGAAGCTGTGCGGTTCCGTTTTCCCTACATTTCCTCCCGCGTGGGCCATCCCCCTAGCCAATGGGATTCAGACCCTGCCATTTGAGTGACAGCTAGCAAGATGCAGACGTGGTTAGTGGTGCACATACAGCTCTGGAAAAAAATTAAAGAGACCACTGCAAAAATATACGTTTCTCTGGATTTACTATTTATAGGGATGTGTTTGGGTGAAATTAACATTTTTGTTTTATTCTATAAACTACTGACAACATTTCTCCCAAATTCCAAATAAAATATTGTCATTTAGAGCATTTATTTGCAGAAAATGACAACTGGATGCAGATGTTGTCAGACCTCGAATAATGCAAAGGAAAAAAAAGTTCATGTTAATTTTTAAATAACACAATATTAATGTTTTAACTTAGGAAGGGTACAGAAATCAATATTTGGTGGAATAACCCTGATTTTCAATCACAGCTTTCATGCGTCTTGGCATGCTCTCCAGCAGTCTTTCACATTGATGTTGGGTGACTTTATGCCACTCCTGGCGCAAAAATTCAAGCAGCTCGGCTTTGTTTGATGGCTTGTGACCATCCATCTTCCTCTTGATCACATTTCAGAAGTTTTCAATGGGGTTCAGGTCTGGAGATTGGGCTGGCCATGACAGGGTCTTGATCTGGTGGTCCTCCATCCACACCTTGATTGACCTGGCTGTGTGGCATGGTGCATTGTCCTGCTGGAAAAAACAATCCTCAGAGTTGGGGAACAATGTCAGAGCAAAAGGAAGCAAGTTTTCTTCCAGGACAACCTTGTACGTGGCTTGATTCATGCGTCCTTCACAAAGACAAATCTGCCCGATTCCAGCCTTGCTGAAGCACCCCCAGATCATCACCGATCCTCCACCAAATTTCATAGTGGGTGCAAGACGGTGTGGCGTGTAGGCCTCTCCAGGTCTCCGTCTAACCATTAGACGACCAGGTGTTGGGCAAAGCTGAAAATTGGACTCATCAGAGAAGATTACCTTCCTCCAGTCCTCTACGGTCCAATCCTTATGGTCTTTTGCAAACATCAGCCTGGCTCTTCTTTGCTTCTCATTGATGAAGGGCTTTTTTCTAGCTTTGCACGACTTCAGCCCTGCCCCTACGAGCCTGTTTCGAACCGTCCTCGCCGTGCACTTCACCCCAGCTGCCGTTCGCCATTCTTTTTGTAGGTCACTTGATGTCATCCTACGGTTGTTGAGTGACATTCGAATGAGTTGGCGGTCATCCCGGTCAGTAGAGAGTCATTTTCGCCCTCTGCCGGTCTGTAGCTTTGTTGTCCCCAATGTCTGCTGCTTGACGTTGTTCTTATGAACCGCCGTCTTTGACATTTTAAGGATGGAAGTAACCTGACGCTCACTGTATCCCTCTGCCAGTAAAGCCAGAATTGAATCCTTCTTTTCCTCACTCAACTCTTTTGGCATGGTCAATAGTTATTTTTTGATTAATATTCCTTTTGAGGTATTATTAGCACTGTTTTTGCCATCCAGCTGGTCCTATTGCAAGAGGATAGTGATGACCACAGCAGTGGTTTTTATACTTTTCCTTGTTAAATAAGATTTGGTTCATGTGATCACCTAATTCAGTACAATGAGGTGTGCCTGTGTTGGAATTCAGTACCGGAGAATCTTTAAGACAACAGAAAAAATAAGGCTAATTTGAAAGCATTTATTTACAGTTTTCAAAGAAATCACCAACAAGAGTATGCCTTTTGCTTCTCTCTAATATGATTCCCATTTCAGCTGTGAATAAGAATGACTGAATGTAGTGTAAAGCTAATGTTTATATGACAGAATAGTCATCATTTGCGACAACCCCCCCCCCCCCCCCCCCCAACCCATAATTATATGAAGTACAACTATTTCCTCTAGCACCAGCATGGATGATTTCTAAAACAAAAATCATGGGAGCGTTATGAACAGAGGTTATTTCATAAACTCTTTTTACGTAGGTCTAGCAAGTCCTCCCAACATTTCATTCATCTCAGATCAAAGCTTTAAAAAATTGAATAAAAAATAATTATATTACAAATCTGACAAGAGTATTTAAAAGTTCAGTAGAGCTCAGTACATTCAGTAGGTGTTGACACGTCTTCATCTAGACATGGACACCGACAACAAACAGTGATTAAAACTGAAAAGACCCCCAGGCCAGAGTGAAGATGGAGGATTCAGGATCGGATGCAGTAGTTTGGAAACCTCAGCGATAGAACACAGTTGCCCTGAGAGACGCAGGGTTCTGTTCTGATACTAATGGATTATATTCAGTAGGCGTTAATACATTTTCTTTATCTAGACATGGACGGGGACAGAAACGGTGATAAACTCAAGCCCGAACGGTGTCTTAGCGGGATGAATCAGGGACAGGTGCAGTTGTGTCTGATCCCTCAGCTCAGAGATGAGTAACAGTAGAGTTTAGATGTCCTGTCTTGAAGTTAGATTTGGAAGCTTTTGAGAGAACTTGCTGTGGAGGAGAATAGATATTAAAACAAACAAAGTGAACCGCCCGTACAGAAGATCAAAATACAATAATTCAAATAAGGCAAATCTGTCTTGGAGGTAAGTGGAAAAAATCATGTAGAATTGTTTTGAGTGAAACATCCCTTTAGTTTCTTTCAATCACTGGCACATTTTTCAGATGCAAGTGGTATATTTTTCAAAACTAAGTAAAAATTCTAAACTGATCCCACTTGTAATGTCCCCCCATCTTATGTTCAGAACCTTCGTTTCACTCATCTTGTACCACGGAGTCATTCATGCAAAATCAACGTTTTCCGTGAAATACCATGAGAACATTTTGTTTAGTCACCAATACATCAGATGATAGGCTCACCATTTAGTCATTTTAACTACCATTTAAAACAATAGCAAAAAAATACAAGATACACATTTCAAAACTGTTATTTTTGAATTGCTGAAGAACAGATGGTAATTTTTTCCCCATACAGTATTTGACATGCACAATTATTTTTATAATTTGTATCCAATGGCAGGTTGTAAGCATGTTGAGAAATATTTCAGTCTTCGTTCCATTATCCGTCTATAGTACTTACTGTATGTAGGACAAATCATCAGAAAGGGTTATTGTAAAGCAGTTGGCTACTGTAAAAACGTAGCACGGTGTTGTGCCATATCTGCATGCGACATTGTACAAGATCACCTTTCCGACATTACTTGTCAACTGATACAGTCTCTGTTTTGAAAAGCATCAGTTTTCAGTATCAAAAAAATTCAGATGAGTGGAATATATTCTGTACAACCCAGGTATTTCACCAGTGCATTGTACACTCATTCTAAATGGCAGCATAGTTTGACCGTCCCATTGAAGTACACTGGCCGATGGAGGATGAAGTATTTACAGCCACACCCATATATGATTTGGTTTTACCTTCCAAAATAAAATTTGTCAAATTGATACATTAGGTCAAAATCATTTTAGAGTGTTCAGCAGTTCAACTATATACGTTATAGGCACTTCATAATTTTGGTTAAGTTGAGCAGTTTGATTAAGTTTGTGAAAAGGACAAAAATAAGATCAAAAAAGGTTAAGTGAATATTGCATTTTGAAAAGCAGATACTGTGATTTGGTGCAGTGAACAAGTGATTGTTTGCTGTACTCAGTCAATTGAAAATGTGCGTAGAGTTTTAAAAACATGAGCCATTTTGATGATCCGTTTTAAATTTGTGCTTAGTTGTGAAAATTGCACCAAAGTGATAAAAAAAAAAAAAACTAACTTCCCGTAAAGAGTGTCCGGGAGTGGTCTGAGTGGGGCGGGGAAAACTAGCGGTTATTGGCAGAGAGATTTGGAACTCTTATTGGTCTATGAACTAATCAAATTTGGTGAGGGGTTGGAGTGAAAAAAAAAAATGAAATTGATAGAACCCAAAATCTCACTGCAATATTAAAACTGATCTGAAAACCCAGCAACACACAGTCCAGTTCAACAAAGTGTTAGTTTGATCTTTAATAAAATGTTTATAAAATTTCTCCTCACAAGATGGTTAGGCCAACCGAACCGGACCAGGCTCCAGTAGCACTCTTGGTTAGCCATTTAGCACGGTGAGGCTCACTTATTGTTATGGCATTCAATTAAAACGAACGTTCATTCATACAGAACTGGAAATGGCAGTGGGATTCAATGTTGACAAAATCCTTCTAAAATAGAATATATAGTTAGATGGTCACAGAGAAAATAAACGGTCTATTTCAGCTATCCATGATAGCATGCTAAACCTCCACTTAAAAACGTATCCCACTCTCAGAGTAAGACCGGTGCGTATAAAACCTGGTGCTATTCTCTCACTGGACACACAGAAAGACACAGCCACTCATCTCTGATTGGATTGTGTGTTGCTGGGTTTAAAATCATTGGTGGGATAGGTGATTGACCTAGGAAATGGGGTTGGAAATTACCGAAAATTCAGAATAGGTGCCGGCGACAGTGTTAATGCTGATGTTACGGCGTGAGGCGGGGCTACGGGCCGGGGTTTTGAACACACTGCTCAGAGCCGCGGCGTTCGGGTGGGAGACGTTCTCCTTGTTCCTCTCCAACGTACGGGGGGTTCTTCCAACACGACTCGGGGTCCTCTGAGGAAGCTATGAGGGTGGTGTTAGAAGGCAGTTATTTTCCTTAGGCATTAAAAACAACACACACACACACACAAAAAATGGAGTTTGTCTTTGCTTGAACACAGACGCCGAGTGCAATACCAACCTTGCTGACAGACGTGGGCAGCCTGGGGACTGGAGACTGACACATGGTTCCTCCGAAGGCAGAGCGTAAGGTGCTGTTAGGAGTAGAGCCGGAGATGCTGCTAGTGGCATTGAGCTGGGAGAGGAGTGGGAAAATACAGGACCACGTTAAGTCACCAAGAAGACATAAAGAGACGATGGCTTTATAGTAGAGAAAAGTACTTCAGTGCTCCCGTTTTTTATTAAAATGCTGAATTACGAATAAACTAAAAACTGACAATGGTAATATATTTCTAAAATAAAAACAGCTTGAATTTAATCCCCCTAAAAAAACAACCACAATAGTGACGAATCAATTAAAATGACCAAAAAAAACAGGTGATTTGACCTTTCTTGCTTTGCCAGGCGTAGGGGTCCCTGCAAGGCGTCTTTTGGAAGGGGTTCGTTGAGCAGTGCCATACAGCATGTCTTGTTCGATCTGCTGGCTCTTCTTCAGTTGCTGTTTGTTTCACAGATCACAGTCAACATTCTCATCTGAACCAGATCCACTCATCACTACCGTTTTAATCATTTTTTTTCCCTGCTCTTCCTCGAAGAAATCACTGATCCGATTACGACACGATTGGGGAAAGCCGTGTTCAGGGAGACGGTGATTGGAAATCTGATCAACGTTTTATTTAGTCGTGTTTGATCAGTGATTACCTCGCGGAAGGCAGGAAGCACATTTTAAAAGCACTGAAAACAGGGCTGTTGTCTTTATCCTCACCCTCTCATTCTTCTCCCGCTCCTTCTCCAGTCGCAGTAGTTCCCACTGCTCCTGTACGAACTGGAGGAACCGCTGTCCATTAACCAGGAAGTCTCTGTACTGCTCCTCCTCCCATTGGTCTATCTGGGTCTTCAGGCTCTTCTCCAACTGGAACACGTGAGAGAACATGCTTAAAAAGTTTAATATCCCCCCCCCATGTAATAGATCCCACACAATAAAAACAGCAAGAAATATAGAACCAAAACAGGCCAGCTATTCAGTATTCGGACAGCCTGTGGGTAAAGTACTAACTAATTAACATTTTTAAAAAATTGCAACTTCTCCTCACCTTTGGCAGGCTTTTCTGCAGTTCAGCTCTTTGCTTCTCCTCTTTGAGTAGGTTCCCTCCTCGGTTGTTGAATCTAGAAGGATCGGTCGCCTTTTTCTGTGGAGAGTTCAACAGTGTTCATAATACAGTCACTTGAAAACACACTTAATAATAATAATAATAATAATAATAATAATAATAATAATAATATGCCATTTAGCAGACGCTTTTATCCAAAGCGACTTACAGTCATGTGTGCATGAACTTTTACGTATGGGTGGTCCCGGGGATCGAACCCACTACCCTGGCGTTACAAGCTCTACCAATTGAGCTACAGAGGACCACATTGAGCTACAGAGGACCACTTGAAAACACATGAATGGTGGGGTCAAACAGTTGACTCAATGGGTGACATCTTCATAGTGCAAAAGATACAGTAAGCATCAATAACATTTTTGCAGTGCGATTTTAATATGAAGCTTTTCTTCAACAATGTGCATTATTTCGTATTATCTGTAAACGAGAACACTTCGTATTCACCAAGCGCTCACCTCCAGTCGTAGGAACAGAGTCCAGCTGTCTTGCCACCGGCTGACTCCTTCAAACAGCTCCCTGTGGTCTTCATAATGCCTCTTCAGTCTCAGGAGCTCAGCCTCGTGTCGGTTCAGCAGCGCCTCTGTGTAGTCAGCTGAAGAACACGTATTGTACCAAATCTCAGTAGGACAACCAGGGTTGTGTTCACGAGTTCATTAGTCACCAAAATGGAAGAGAACAGGGCGCAGTTATCTGGACTACCCGTCCAATTAGAAACTTTACAATTTTTAGCAGTCCGTTGCAAAATGTGTTGCTACGGTGTACCCCAATGAACAACACTCAATGACATTACGGTCAAACTGTCAGACTGACCATCATAGTAGGGTGCGAAGGCTTGTCTCTGCTCCGGGCTGTAGTAACACTTCTCCCAGAACAGAGCCACCTCAGCCCTGACGGCTTCTATCACATTCCTCATGTTCCTCATTTTCAGCTCCTCCAGGCGCCGGCACTCCGCTTCTAACTGGAGGAAGGAACAGCAAACGTCAGTCAGTAAAAAAAATAAAATAAATAAATAAATCAATTATAGTTCTGACATTCCATTCAAACCTTAGGCGATAACGTATTAGTCAACCTGAAAAGGCTATGGTTTGTTGTAGGTATTCTAAATCATTCTACTCAGGGCTATGGTTTGTTGTAGGTATTCTGAATGCATCCCTTGCCACTGCAAACATGTACGGTAACAAGGTAAATTAATATGTAATTCAACATTTTCCTGAATATAACTGTATCGAGCCACTGCATCCTTCACTGGACCGAGAACATTAGGCCTCTCCATTTCGCCACAAGTATGTCCATATCTGATCAGCCTGACAGGTTACGTACATAATTACACATTTGGAATACGAGAAGAGTGCCGTAGCTGTGAAAAATATGAAAGAAAGAAAAATGCTCACAGCCTCCATGTTTTTCTTCCTGGACTGGACCACGTGTTCTGACATGGCCTCTCGTTCCTCCTGGGGGACCCCCAGTCTCTCCCACAGCTCCTGGATCTTACTGCGGTAGGAGTTGCACACCAGCTCATTCTCAGTCTTACGATCCTCCAGCTGAGAATAACACAACAAGACCGTCAGGTGACGAGCTGATGACTGACGAGAAGATGGCATATGGGACGTATTTTTGTAAAAATGAAATACCATGCATATACAAATAATATAACATACTATATTTACATAATTTGGACACAGAGTATCAAATTGTTCAATGTTCAGATAGAAAAATGTTTATGTAGAACAAACATTCCTCTCTGACGTAGACTAAAAGAATCACGACAGCTCCATTCATGACATTCCACAATGTAACTGAACAGACTTCAGCAGTTCACCTCACCTGTCCCAGCAGCAGTTGGAGAGCTGTGATGTTGTCGTTGGACAGACAGAAGGCCTCCTCGTCCTCACACACCACGTCCCTCTCAAAGCTGGTGTCCGGCAGCTGGTCCAGCTCCTCCATACACGCCATGATCTGACGCTTGATGCCCACAAACTCACTGTGGCGACGATCCTGGAACACAGAACGGAGAGAGCATAATCCTCAACTTAATGAAACCAAGATTGTCTGAATGAACATAGAACAGAGAGTGTTAGACTACCATATTTACTTACTTAATCCTGTTCAATCCTATGTGGACATAAGGCTTACTTGCCATTAAAACTGGCTTAGGAAGGCCAACAACCTGCCGGCTTGACCCTATCCCCTCCTCTCTTCTCCAGACCATCTCCGGTGACCTTCTCCCTTACCTCATCTCACCGATCAACTCATCCTTGACCGCTGGATATGTCCCTTCCGTCTTCAAGAGAGCGAGAGTTGCACCCCTTCTCAAAAAACCAACACTCGATCCCTCCGATGTCAACAACTACAGACCAGTATCCCTTCTTTATTTTCTCTCCAAAACTATTGAGCGTGCCGTCTTTAGCCAACTCTCTTGCTATCTCTCTCAGAATGACCTTCTTGATCCAAACCAGTCAGGTTTCAAGACTGGTCATTCAACTGAGACTGCTCTTCCCTGTGTCAAGGAGGCTCTCCGCACTGCTAAAGCTAACTCTCTCTCCTCTGCTCTTGTCCTTCTAGACCTGTCTGCTGCCTTTGATACTGTGAACCATCAGATCCTCCTCTCCACCCTCTCCGAGCTGGGCATCTCCGGCGCGGCTCACTCTTGGATTGCGTCCTACCTGACCGGTCGCTCCTACCAAGTGGCGTGGCGAGAAAGCTGTCTCCGCACCACGTGCTCTCACCACTGGTGTCCCCCAGGGCTCAGTTCTAGGCCCTCTCCTATTCTCGCTATACACCAAGTCACTTGGCTCTGTCATATCCTCACATGGCCTCTCCTATCATTGCTACGCAGACGACACACAACTAATCTTCTCCTTTCCCCCTTCTGATAACCAGGTGGCGAATCTCATCTCTGCATGTCTGGCAGACATATCAGTATGGATGACGGATCACCACCTCAAGCTGAACCTTGGCAAGACGGAGCTGCTCTTCCTCCCGGGGAAGGACTGCCCGTTCCATGATCTCGCCATCACGGTTGACAACTCCGTTGTGTCCTCCTCCCAGAGTGCGAAGAGCCTTGGCGTGACCCTGGACAACACCCTGTCATTCTCTGTTAACATCAAGGCGGTGACCCGATCCTGTAGGTTCATGCTCTACAACATTCGGAGAGTACGACCCTGCCTTACCCAGGAAGCGGCACAGGTCCTAATCCAGGCACTTGTCATCTCCCGTCTGGATTACTGCAACTCGCTGTTGGCTGGGCTCCCTGCCTGTGCCATTAAACCCCTACAACTCATCCAGAATGCCGCAGCCCGTCTGGTGTTCAACCTTCCCAAGTTCTCTCACGTCACCCCGCTCCTCCGCACACTACACTGGCTTCCAGTTGAAGCTCGCATCTGCTACAAGACCATGGTGCTTGCCTACGGAGCTGTGAGGGGAACGGCACCTCCGTACCTTCAGGCTCTGATCAGTCCCTACACCCAAACGAGGGCATTGCGTTCATCCACCTCTGGCCTGCTGGCTCCCCTACCTCTGCTGAAGCACAGTTCCCGCTCAGCCCAGTCAAAACTGTTCGCTGCTCTGGCACCCCAATGATGGAACAAGCTCCCTCACGACGCCAGGACAGCGGAGTCACTCACCACCTTCCGGAGACATTTGAAACCCCACCTCTTTAAGGAACACCTGGGATAGGATAAAGTAATCCTTCTACCCCCACCAAAAAAATATATATAATTGTAAAGTGGTTATCCCACTGGTTATAAGGTGAATGCACCGATTTGTAAGTCGCTCTGGATAAGAGCGTCTGCTAAATGACGTAAATGTAAATACAGGCACATGGAGGCCACACACACTACTGAGCCTCATTTTGACTTGTTTTAAGGACATTACATAAAAGTTGGATCAGCCTGTAGTGTGGTTTTCCACTTTAATTTTGAGGGTGACTCCAAATCCAGACCTCCATGGGTTGATAAATTTGATTTCCATTGATAATTTGTGTGTGATTTTGTTGTCAGCACATTCAACTATGTAAAGAAAAAAAGTATTTAATAAAATTATTTAAATTCATTCAGATCTAGGATGTGTTATTTTAGTGTTCCCTTTATTCTTTTGAGCAGTGTATATACAGTAGGTCTACTATAACTATATACAGTAGGTCTACTATAACTATATACAGTAGGTCTACTATAACTATATACAGTAGGTCTACTATAACTATATACAGTAGGTCTACTATAACTATATACAGTAGGTCTACTATAACTATACACAGGTCTACTATATACAGTAGGTCTGCTATAACTATATACAGTAGGTCTACTATAACTATATACAGTAGGTCTACTATATACAGTAGGTCTACTATAACTATATACAGTAGGTCTACTATAACTATATACAGTAGGTCTACTATATCTATATACAGTAGGTCTACTATAACTATATACAGTAGGTCTACTATAACTATATACAGTAGGTCTGCTATAACTATATACAGTAGGTCTGCTATAACTATATACAATAGGTCTACTATAACTATATACAATAGGTCTACTATAACTATATACAGTAGGTCTACTATAACTATATACAGTAGGTCTACTATATACAGTAGGTCTACTATAACTATATACAGTAGGTCTGCTATAACTATATACAATAGGTCTACTATAACTATATACAATAGGTCTACTATAACTATATACAGTAGGTCTACTATAACTATATACAGTAGGTCTACTATAACTATATACAGTAGGTCTACTATAACTATATACAGTAGGTCTACTATAACTATACACAGTAGGTCTACTATATACAGTAGGTCTACTATAACTATATACAGTAGGTCTACTATAACTATACACAGGTCTACTATATACAGTAGGTCTGCTATAACTATATACAGTAGGTCTACTATAACTATATACAGTAGGTCTACTATAACTATATACAGTAGGTCTGCTATAACTATATACAGTAGGTCTGCTATAACTATATACAGTAGGTCTGCTATAACTATATACAGTAGGTCTGCTATAACTATATACAGTAGGTCTACTATATACATTAGGTCTACTATAACTATATACAGTAGGTCTACTATAACTATACACAGTAGGTCTACTATAACTATATACAGTAGGTCTACTATATACATTAGGTCTGCTATAACTATATACAGTAGGTCTGCTATAACTATATACAGTAGGTCTACTATATACATTAGGTCTACTATAACTATATACAGTAGGTCTACTATAACTATATACAGTAGGTCTACTATAACTATACACAGTAGGTCTACTATAACTATATACAGTAGGTCTACTATATACATTAGGTCTGCTATAACTATATACAGTAGGTCTGCTATAACTATATACAGTAGGTCTACTATATACATTAGGTCTACTATAACTATATACAGGTCTACTATAACTATATACAGTAGGTCTACTATAACTATATACAGTAGGTCTACTATAACTATATACAGTAGGTCTACTATAACTATATACAGTAGGTCTGCTATAACTATATACAGTAGGTCTACTATATACATTAGGTCTGCTATAACTATATACAGTAGGTCTACTATATCTATATACAGTAGGTCTACTATAACTATATACAGTAGGTCTACTACAACTATATACAGTAGGTCTACTACAACTATATACAGTAGGTCTACTATAACTATATACAGGTCTACTATATACAGTATATTATTATATATTAGATCATCACATGCCTATTCAAACTTAAGAACTGCACCTCAAAGTAACCTAGAGTCTGTGCTTTTTAACCCAATGAGTCCCACCGTAAAGCCAGCGCGTTGTGAACTTTAACCCCTTTTAAAACGTGTGTCCGAGCTACAGTCTTCTGGGTTGCACCACTGGATTCATCTACTCCTGGTCGTAAATGCTGGCTACATCCTAGGAAAAAAGATGAACAACGAAGCATGCACACCTTCTCTTTAGTGAGATCGTTGAGGTAGGAGCGATAGCCGTCCAGTTGTTCCAGGGATGGGACCGCGTCCACGTCGATACAGAAGGGGACTGAACACATGATGTCACACAGCTCCCGGTCCTGCTTGGACAGAGTCTTGAGCTCCTTGACCCTCTGACTCTTCTGTTTCATCGTCACCTCCAGCCGTGACCGGATGTCTTTCTCCAGCTGCAGCATTGTCCTCCCCTCGTCCTCCTGTAGACACGTCAAGATGGTTGAGAGGAACATTAGCAAGCTGCAGCATCGTCTTTCTATAGACACGTCAAGATGTGTGAGAGGAACATTAGCAAGCTGCAGCATCGTCTTTCTATAGACACGTCAAGATGGTTGAGAGGAACATTAGCAAGCTGCAGCATCGTCTTTCTATAGACACGTCAAGATGTGTGAGAGGAACATTAGCAAGCTGCAGCATCGTCTTTCTATAGACACGTCAAGATGTGTGAGAGGAACATTAGCAAGCTGCAGCATCGTCTTTCTATAGACACGTCAAGATGTGTGAGAGGAACATTAGCAAGCTGCAGCATCGTCTTTCTATAGACACGTCAAGATATGTGTGAGAGGAACATTAGCAAGCTGCAGCATCGTCTTTCTATAGACACGTCAAGATATGTGTGAGAGGAACATTAGCAAGCTGCAGCATCGTCTTTCTATAAACACGTCAAGATGGTTGAGAGGAACATTAGCAAGCTGCAGCATCGTCTTTCTATAGACACGTCAAGATGGTTGAGAGGAACATTAGCAAGCTGCAGCATCGTCTTTCTATAGACACGTCAAGATGGTTGAGAGGAACATTAGCAAGCTGCAGCATCGTCTTTCTATAGACACGTCAAGATGTGTGAGAGGAACATTAACAATATTTCTCATTCCTTTTATTTAACCAGGAAATTAACATTGAGATTGGCATCTCCTGTTGAAGTGAGCCCTGAATAAAAAAAGATGCAACATTAAGGTAATAGGGGGTCTCTTATTGTCTTTGCCCATTTCATTTCTAAAAAGGTAGAATACATTATCTTTGTCATGTTTGTAGTATACCTCAAACGGGGATAGCTGAAGCTCAGTGCACAGAACATCCAGCTCTTTGCGACAGGACTCTATACTGCTCATCAATCTCTTCCTTAGACTGTCCTCCTCAGCGATCATCATGTCCAGCAAGCCCTGGTAGAATAATAAAAAAAAACAGGTTAGAAGACAGGCCACTGGTTATAAAAGAGATATTCAGCAACTCTTGGTAGTACACTGGAAGTTTGATTCAAAAAGCAACCTCCCATTTAACCTACAAAGAGTTGCTGAATAAATATCTCAATCTTCAGTCTGCCCATGCACCTTGGTCTAAAATGAGAGTGTGACAGCACTGTTTTTCTAGGCCAGTGCCCACTGGATAACAAGTAAACCTATAGGCTTTGGAAAGAAGCAGAACTCACTTTGATATGTTTCTTAACCACATCAGTCCTTTGTAGTCGCTGATCCTCTGGAATCCCTATTTCCTCCCAGATGTCCTTCAACCGGTTAAGGGCTCGATTCAGACATTCTACCGACTCTGCAGCGTGGATTTCACTGTACAGGGAGAAAGATAAAAAAAGCAGGTGACAGCAACTTAAATATGTTGTTAAATATGAATGCTGCAGCCTGCAACTACGGGAAAGAGTATAGATCAGGTTCACACTGTCCATGGATTGTTATGGCTCATTTTGTATTTGTATATATATTATGGATCCCCATTAGCTGCTGCCAAGGCAGCAGCTACTCTTCCTGGGGTCCAACAAAATTAAGGCAGTTATACATTTAAAAAAACATTACAATACATTCAGAACAGATTTCACAGCACACTAAGTGTGTTCCCTCAGGGCACTACTCCACAACACAAAATCCATGTGTACGTGTGTGTATAGAGCGTATGTTATCATGTGTGTATGCATGTGTCTATGTTTGTGTTGCTTCACAGTCCCCGCTGTTCCATAAGGTGTATTTTTATCTGTTTTAAAAAAAAAAATCTGATTCTACTGCTTGCATCAGTTACTTGATGTGGAATAGAGTTCCATGTAGTCATGGCTCTATGTAGTACTGTGCGCCTCCCATAGTCTGTTCTGGACTTGGGGACTGTGAAGAGACCTCTGGTGGCATGTCTTGTGGGGTATGCATGGGTGTCTGAGCTGTGTGCCAGTCGTTCAAACAGACAGCTCGGTGCTTTCAACATGTCAACACCTCTCACAAAACAAGCAGTGATGAAGTCAATCTCTCCTCCACTTTGAACCAGGAGAGATTGACATGCATATTATTAATGTTTGCTCTCTGTGTACATCCAAGGGCCAGCCGTGCTGCCCTTTTCTGAGCCAATTGTAATTTTCCTAAGTCCCTCTTTGTGGCACCTGACCACACAACTGAACAGTAGTCCAGGTGCGACAAAACTAGGGCCTGTAGGACAGACTTCTCCCCATCTTAGCTACTGTTGTATCAATATGTTTTGACCATGACAGTTTACAATCCCGGGTTACTCCAAGCAGTTCAGTCACCTCAACTTGTTCAATCTCCACATTATTTATTACAATATTTAATTGAGGTTTGAAGTTTAGTCAATGATTTGTTCCTAGTTTTATAAATATTTAGGACTAACATTCCTTGCCACCCACTCTGAAACTAACTGCAACTCTTTGTTAAGTGTTGCAGTCATTTCAGTCGCTGTAGTAGCTGACATGTATAGTGTTGAGTCATCCACATACATAGACACACTGGCTTTGACATTAGTAAAGATTATGTGCATTGCAGAGCTTGTTGTTGATCAAAATAACAATTGAGCTGAGTAGGTTTGTCGAAGGTGTCAAATGACAAGTAGCTAGCTATGTAGGAAGTTGGTCAAGTTGTCATGTACATTTTCTGATCAAGGACTCATTGATTGGCATTCCGTCTCGGCAGGCTAACGTTAAATACATTTCTAGCCATTTTACATAGTTACTTGTGATAATATACAGTAGCGTTGGTTATGGGACAAACGGCTAGTTAGTATGGCAAGTAACTTAGTTACTAACGACAGGTTACGACAGCTAACTTTACTGCAGAATCTTACGCCAATATTATGTGACGTTGGTTAGTCTTTGCTAGCTAACTGAAGATATTAGCCTCGTCGGTTAAGTTGGCGAGCGACCTAGTTACTGTAGCAAGCTGCCGACGTATTAACTTAGCAACAACATGAAAAGACATCCAAACACAGAAAACCAGAAAAATTTTGACCAACCTCCTCCTCATGGTCACGGTCCACCGAAAAGACAACACTGGTTAAAAAAAAAAGTAAAAGTGTTGCCTAAAATACGTTTCATTAAACACAACAGAAAGATGGTACTTTGTAGCTATCCAGGCGTCCTCTCTTTGTCAGCTGCTTCTGCGACTCCGTTCAAATTCTTTCACCGAAACACTGCTTCGCCTCCCATTGGCCGATACAGAGAACACGTCACAAAAACAGGTTTCTATGGGCGTGTCCAAAGTACTTCATGAATCAAGAGCTCACCTTTGGAATTTTATTGGTGAATATGTGAATCATAGCTGATTCACATTTCCCAAGATTAAATAATATATACATATATGTATTAGCTGCTAGAGTTAATATATTGATAAGCAATATTTTATTTTAGGTCTACAAGCCTCTGGGTTCCTGCTGAGGCACTAACTAACTACTGTAATTTACTCTCTAGATTAAACTAAAAGGAGATTGAGACCTGCCAGGCACACCCCTTGTTTCAGAACTCTTATCCAAACTAGGGCCTACACTTCAAAACTGACCTGTGACGGCTTCCCTTTTCATCAACCACTGAAGTGATCAGATTGATGATGAGGTTGAAGGCGGATAACATGATAATAGAGAAACACAACGATTGCTGTAACTATCTGCCCCTTCTTAAACTCAGTCATGATAGACTAATGTTGCAATTGTTTGGGGTTTTGATCTTTCTTCCATTCCACTGACAGATTTTCTGGGAAGTAGAGCATTTGCAAAATATACTTTAATGCTTTTTCCTTCACAGAAACAAAGATAGAGAGTCAAGAGCAAGATGATGCAACTCAGAACATGACGACATGTTCAGTTAAGGAAATAAATATACATGGAATATGCAAACACCGATAAAAAAAAATCTAAACATGTTTAAGGCTACCTGATTGTTTCTGGGGTATCATTTGAAATGTAATGAAATAGAATTACAGTAGACAGTCATTGTTGTCCTATTTGCAATGCATATCAGTGAGGGTAGGCCTACTCTCAAAGCCCATATCAAGGGGCATTATATGAACAATCTCTGGTACTCCTAGTGAGGGTAGTGCCTCCTCTCTGTAGTCAAGACTTTCCTCAGTACCTCCGGACTGAACTGGTAGGTCAGTTTCTTCTTGACCTTTTTGATCTCTCCCGTTTTGCCGTAGTTCCGCAGGGCCCTGGCCATCTTCTGATAGGTCATCCTCTTCCTGTTTCCTTTCTGTGTGCCCCAGCGATTGGCCAGGGTCTCCTTGTGTTTAGAGGAGAACTGGAAGATTCCTTTCTCTCTGTCCGCCCACCACACGCTGTCCTTCATGTCTCCTTTCCTCAGCAGATCCAGGAGAAACTGGTACAGGCGGTGCTTCCTCTTGTTACCTGGATAGAGAGATACGAAAGAGTTTTGACATTAATTTCGTAATGGCAGAATTAATTAATTTCAATGGCTATTGTTGGATTATGTGAAAGGCTATTAGCAAGCGTGTGATCCCTGTATGTAATAGCCACCGTGCAGATTTCTCCCCTGTAATACTACTGTACTCATTCTCACACGGAGGCCTTATGTTTCACAATGGAATGAAAAGGATTAAGTCAGTCAGTGAGTAAGTCATTAACTGAGTAATTTATTAATTAGGTTATTAAGTAATTAATTAAGTCGGTCAGCACTCACTGGAGTCTCCCCAAAAGGGGACATGGTCTCCGCAGTCCTCCTCTTCACCCTCGGACACCTCCAGTGGGGGGATGTGGCCCCCAGGTTCCTCCTTCTCTGAGCAGCAGTGCCTAGGGGACACAGGAGGCTGGTGCTGGTAGTATGATGTATGGGTGTAATACGGCATCTGTGGAGAAGAATGGACAGATCATTTGCTGTCACGATGTATTGTTGCACTGTATGTTTTTGTTTTAGCATTTATATGACATAGTACACACATTTCAGGGACCCATTTTGTGCACAACTTCTGGCAGAAAGTATATGAAACCTCCACATAGCCTCTTCATCCAGGTAGTCCCATTGAGATCAAAATACTTATTTCACAAAGGAGTAGCCTTAGTATTATGCTTGATTAGTTGTCTCTCGGACTTTGTGATTGCACATCACGGGAGGTTTGTGGCACTTTAATTGGGGAGGATGGGCTCGTGGTAATGGCTGGAGCAGATGGGAGTGGAATGGTATCAAATACATCAAACACATGGTTTCCATGGTTTCCATGTGTTTGATGCCATTCCATTCGCTCCATTCCAGCCATTATTATGAGCTCTACTCCCCCAAGCAGCAGTCCTGTGATGTGCATACTGTACATCTACTGTGTAAATAAACGTTGCTTATAGACTGGGCTTAGAGACCATAGGATTGTATTACCTTGGAAATGTAAAAATGGTCGGTCATCTCCCTGAAAGAGGAAGTGGTGTAAGGTAAACTAAATAGAATCTAAAAACAATTGTCAATGGCAAAATGGACATACAGTCCTAAACGAGAAATACTCTTGTATTTCCAGGTGAAATTTCCAGACGAAATACTTTAGAGACTCTGATTTTAATTGACATCCTTCTGTGGTGATTTACAGCGCCTTCGGAAAGTATTCAGACCCCTTAACCCTTTACTTTTCCACATTTTGTTACGTTACAGCCTTATTCTAAAATGTATTACATTGGTTTTTTTGCTCATCAATCTACACACAATACCCCATAATGACAAAGCAAAAACAGTTTTATTTTATTTATTTTGCTAATTTATAAAAAAAATTGAAAACTGAAATATTACATTTACATAAGTATTCAGACCTTTTACTCAGTACTTTGTTGAAGCACCTTTGGCAGCGATTACAACATCGAGTCTTCTTGGGTATGAAGCTACAAGCTTGGCACACCTGTATTTGGGGGTTTCTCCCATTCTTCTCTGCAGATCCTCTCAAGCTCTGTCAGGTTGGATGGGGAGATGTTAGATCGGGTTCAAGTCCGGGCCACTCAAGCACATTCAGAGACTTGTCCCGAAGCCACTGTCCTGTTGGAAGGTGAACCTTCGCCCAAGTCTGAGGTCCTGAGCGCTCTGGAGTAGGTTTTCATTAAGGATCTCTCTGTACTTTGCTCTGTTCATCTTTCCCTTGATCCTGACTAGTCTCCCAGTCCCTGCCACTGAAAAACATTCCCACAGCATGATGCTGCCACCACCATGCTTCACCGTAGGGAGGGTGCCAGGTTTCCTCCAGACGTGACGCTTGGCATTCAGGCCAAAGAGTTCAATCTTGGTTTCAATAGACCAGAGAATCTTGTTTCTCATGGTCTGAGAGTCTATAGGTGCCTTTTGGCAAACTCCAAGTGGGCTGTCATGTGCCTTTTACTGAGGAGTGGCTTCCATCTGGCCACTCTACCTTAAAGGCCTGATTGGTGGAGTGCTGCAGAGATGGTTGTCCTTCTGGAAGGTTCTCCCATCTCCACACAGGAACTCTAGAGCTCTGTCAGAGTGACCATCGGGTTCTTGGTCACCCCCCTGACCAAGGCCCTTCTCCCCCGATTGCTCAGTTTGGCCAGGCAGCCAGCTCTAGTAAGAGTCTCTGTGGTTCCACATTTCTTCCATTTAAGAATGATAGAGGCCACTGTGTTCTTGGGGACCTTCAATGCTGCAGACATTTTTTGGTACCCTTCCCCAGATCTGTGCCTCGACACAATCCTGTCTCAGAGCTCTACAGACAATTCCTTCAACCTCATGGCTTGGTTTTTGCTCTGACATGCACTGTCAACTGTGGGACCTTAAATAGACAGATGTGTGCCTTTCCAAATCACGTCCAATCAATTGAATTTACCACAGGCGTAAATTCAATCAAGTTGTAGAAACATCTCAAGGATGATCAATGGAAACAGGATGCACCTGAGCTTAATTTTGAGTCTCATAGCAAAGGGTCTGAATACTTATGTAAATAATGTATTTTTAATACATTTGCAAAAATGTCTAATAACCTGTTTTCACTTTGTTATTATGGGGTATTGGGTGTAGATTGCTGAGGATGTTATATTGTTTAATCCATTTTAGAATAAGGCTGTAACGTAACAACATGTGGAAAAAGTCAAGGGTTCTGAATACTTTCCGAAGGCACAAATGCAAAGTCATTGTCCTATAGCTCTCAATGCATTCTTCGATTACATCTTTGATTTAACTGTTGAATTTTAAATTTACAGATGTAGGATCTTAATTTGATCACCCTGTTTTTGCAGGAAATTTCAACCCCTACAAAAAAGCTGTGAAACCTATTGTTATTCTTAGATCTTCTTTTCCTTGACATGGACAAATAACTCAAGGATAGATTGGTAACTTTTTTTCTAATTTGGCACACAGAAACTAGAGGCCATGAGTAACTTGGTCAAAAGAGATGGCATGATTGGCTTATAGGTGTCGCTGTTCAAAGCAATCTCACGTAAACCCTCATATCTGCCACCACGTTTGACCTAGAGACTTACATAAAAAATACGTAAAAAATATTAATTATCATGAACCATAGCTCATGGAATGTAGGCCGATGGCATATGTCTTAACTTAGTTTGAGAAAAGCTAAGGGATTAGTCGAAAGATGGCTGAGATACTGACAAATCAAAAATCTGATTTTGCGTGTCAATTTAAACCACTGTAAATACACTCCACAGTGGTCTATCAACTTGAAACTTGTCATCGGTATCATGGACGTCCCTAAGATGAACCACACTGAATTCGGTATTGATATCTCAAAAAACAAGGAAACTATTAACAATTCATTCTTTGCATACATAACGCTAATGCTCAAAATCATCTGCAATCATCTTCTCCTCATGAACCATACGTCAGATTCACTCCAGATTTTGTATTTAGACTCATTCCATCAGACTTTAATGTTTTTTTTTAGCTGCATTCAAAAATGGCCGCACTCCACCTATAGATGAACGTTAGCACATATGCTAATGCTAAACATAATTACAAAATCTTCTCATGAACCAGAAGTCAGATTGACTCCAGATTTGACTGCAGATTTGTTTATAACAAAACCCTTTGATATTGCCAACCACTTTAATAACATTTATTTGTTGACAAGATTAGCAAATGCATTAATGACATGCAAACAACAAATGTTGAGCCTTCATAGTCATGCATAACGGACCAAATTATGAAAGACAAGCACTGTAGTTTTGGGTTCCGCAAAGTTGGTGTGGAAGGGGTGATTTTTTGTTGTTGCTATCTATACATAAGGACAAGCCACCTGGTACCGACAACCTGGATGGTAAATTGCTGAAGTTGGTAGCGGAATACATTGCGACTACTGTTTGCCATATCTTCAATTTAAGCCTGGAAGACGATGTGTGCCCTCAGGCCTGGAGGGATGCAAAGGTCATTTCACTGTCCGTTAATAGCAAGCAATCTTTAATTGTTCAAACAGCTGACCAATCAGCCTTTTACCGGTGTTTAGCAAACTTTGACCAAATACAATGTTATTTTACAGAAAACAAATGAACAACAGACTTTCAGCATGCTTATACGGAAGGGCACTCAACATCCTCGGCACTGACAAAAACGACTGATGATTGGCTGAAAGAAATTGATAGTAAAAAGATTGTGGGAGCTGTTTTGTTAAATTTCAGTGCAGCTTTTGACATCATTGATCATAACATCATTGATCATAACCTTAAGTGTTATGGATTTACATCCTCTGCCTTATCATGGATTGAGAGTTACTTATCTAATAGAACACAGAGGGTTTTCTTTAATGGAAGCCTCTCTCGTGCAAATAAGGTTGAGTGTGGTGTACCGCAGGGCAGACAGCTTGGGCCATTATTGTTTTCTGTTTTCACTAATGAACTTCCACTGACCTTGAATAAAGCCTGTGTGTTTATGTACGCTGACAACTCAACCGTATACACGTCAGCTAGGACAGTAAAATAAATAACTGACACCCTCAACATAGTGCTCCAGTCAGTTTTAGAATGGGTAACTGGCAATAGGCTGGTTCTAAATATCAAAACATCTAAATGCATAGTTTTTGGGACAAATCACTCACTCACTCAACCCTAAACCTAATCTAGATCTATTACTCAATAATGTGGCGATTGAGCAAAGAAGGACATAGGACAATTGCAGTTGGTCCAGTTGGTCATTGTCCTGCTGGAAGGTGGACCTCCGTCCCAGTCTCAAATCTCTGGAAGACTGAAACAGGTTTCCCTCAAGAATTTCCCCTGTATTTAGCGCCATCCATCATTCCTTCAATTCTGACCAGTTTCCCAGTCCCTGCCGATGGAAAAACATCCCCACAGCATGATGCTGCCACCACCATGCTTCACTGTGGGGATGGTGTTCTCGGGGTGATGAGTTGTATGCAATTTTAAAACTATTTAACCATAAACTTAATTGTTTAAAACCTATTGAACTTTACTGCGTATGACTGTCAGATAACAACTGTGCGCACAGTGCTGGAGAGACAGCTGCTTGCGCCAACGAGAGATAGGATAATCCCTGTTCTAATAGGCTATTCGTACATCTGCATTCAGACGCTTGTAAAATGGCTTTTGCAATGTCAAATCACAGGCTTTATTAGTTGAGTGACAACCAATGTTAATTTACTGGGTCATTGTTACCAAATGCGCTGTAGAAAAATTGTGTTTTACCGGAGTTGTGTAGCCTACCGGAGTGGACGCTACTCAATCCAACTGCTGATTGGGGTTTTCAATCATTTTATTTAGATAGTTCACCAATAATAAACAGTTGACTTAGTTTTGCTGTAAACAGTCAGTGTATTTGGTCATTTTTACATGAACAGGGTAATTTGATGAAGGACTCATGCTCATTATTCCCTATGGCTCAGGTCGGGTGCCTACACACCAT